AAACACTTGTTCAATGTTAGGAATGTAGCTCCCATACTCAAGAGGGGGGGGTGAATTGAGTATTACAAGATTTTCGCAAAAGCCCCCTTCTAGTTTCTAAATAATCATTTCAAGTACACTTTGACATATGAAAAGCTAATTTATTTAATTTAAATAATTTACAGCGTGTAGTGACTAAATAACAGAAAAATAGATCAGGTAAATATTTGATGAGATATGAATTTAAATATACTCAAATGATTAATCAATGCTTATGCAAGAGATAAGGGATAGAGAGATTTGCAAACTTGATATATCCTGGTTCGGTCACTACCACTGTGACCTACGTCCAGACTGAAGTCGCTCGATCAAATCTTTCACTAACGGTCAAGCTTCACGGGTGCTTGACAAACCTTTACAAATTCCCAAGACTTCTGTCTCTTGGTAGACTAACAAGGGTTCACTCCCCTTTCCAAGACTTCTGTCTCTTGGCAGACTAACAAGGGTTCACTCCCCTTTCCAAGACTTCTGTCTCTTGGCAGACCAACATAAGGGTTCACTCCCCTTTTGATTCAAAATGTAAGATGAAGGTGATAAAGAGAGGATATGTACTCTCAAAGTAAAGATATTACAAATTGAAGAACTAGTAGGTGTATAGCCTAACAACAAAGATAAGCTCAAGTCTATGCAATGATCAAAATGAGTAATATGTGAGCAAAAGCAAGCTAGAATGAGTGATAAAGACCTGGTAAATGATCAATGACCGAATTGTGTGTATTTGAGATGTTAGGGGGGGGGGGGTTTATATAGGCACCCAATTCGAAAACTAGCCGTTTATAGCCGTTTAAAACAGTAGATATCTGGTATCCGGATATGTGATTATAGCCCTTTATAGCCGTTTAAATAGTAGATATCCGGATATTCATCGCGCACGTATCCGGATATGTGATATCCGGATATTCAGTATCAGATATCCGGATATTGGTATCCGGATATTCTTGGTCAAATATCCGAATATTTCATGGCAGTGACCTTTTTACACATTTTCGAAAATTCCTTTCTTTCAATATGGTTTCTATGACTTGTAAAGCATATGATTGGTTATGGAAATTAACTAGAAAAGTATATTTTATGTAAGTACTCTTTCCAAACCAATTTTGAACGATTTAAACCACTTGATTTGACTTTTCTTGACGGATGTATAAGGCCATGAATATGTAACTGTTATAATGCCATGATTCTCTTTTTTTTGCTTAAGTCATTTGAAAAACCTTTAGATGCATGTTTGACTTGTTAGTTCAAGATTCATTTATGCATTTGATGATGTGTATGACTTGAGCTTATGCAATGCTATAATACTATACACCTTTACACATTTTCCTAAGTCCTAGATAAATATACCATTGAGATCTTGGACTTGACTTGATGCTTGGCTTGCATGTTTCTTGATTTGATTTCTTTTGGATGTTGCTTCACCTTCAAGCAATCTTCTTTGACTTGTTTGTTATCATCAAAACTATGCTGACGTGGAATCATCAATAGTATCATCGTGGCAGCCACATCATCACTTTGATTCTTCAATCTTAAAAGTTTTTTTAATTATTCCTTGTTGCTCTTTATCCAATGATCTTGCCATTTTGATATGACATCACTCTTCTTGTGTGGCTACATCATACATCTTCAATATCCACATTGGTTGATGCTTTTTGCTCTTGATCAAAGTTTTTGATATGACATCACTCTTCTTGTGTGGCTACATCATACATCTTCAATATCCACATTGGTTGATGATTTTTGCTCTTGATCAAAGCTCTTCTCTTTTTGTTGTTGCCACTTTGTTATCATCAAAACATACCTTTTATCTACATTCAATGTGCCTATCAGATATTTGAATATTCATCTGACGGCATCCCAAGGTTCCTTTCCCGGGTTCGACAAAAACAAGCTTACAATCCCGACTGCATGAGCAAGGTCAGGCCTTATGTATATCATGGCATATATAAGACTACCTACAACTGACTAATATGGAACCTTTGACATCTCGTCTCTTTCTTCATCACTGGTTGAACCCTGCTTCTGACTCAACTTGAAGTGCCCAGCCAGAGAAGTGTTGACCATCTTAGATTAGTCCATCTTTAACCTCTTTAGGATTTTCTCTATGAACTTCTCCTAAGATTGCCACAACAATTCTTTGAGTGATCCCGAAAAATCTTCATCCTGAGTATCTGTCTTTCTGGGCCGAAATCCTTCATAGTGAATGACTTGCTAAAGGCTTTCTTGAGGGTATTAATCTTCCTCGTGTCTTTCCCCAATATTAGCATGTCATCTACGTAAAGCAAGAGGATGATGAAGTCGGCATCATATCTTTTGATAAAAACACAATAGTTTGCTTGAGTTTTCTTGAAAATGTGCTAAGTCATGAAGAATTCAAACTTTTTGTACCGTTACCGAGGTGCTTGCTGTAACATCTCGTTGGCCGCCATTGTGTTAACTCACATTATGGTAATAAAAGCGCTACATATTGAATTAAATAAGCAGAAGACTTAATAAAGTATCACTATAGCTTACCATCAACTACAGACTTAATTTTTTCTTTTTATCTTTCTTTCGTGTAATTGCCTTACTTCACTAAGCAATTTAGATTCAATTCTATAAGGCCCCATAACCATACAGAATCTTACTTGAACATTCACCTTATTAATCAATTATAAAGTATTCCCCCGAATATAATAACAAGTATTATTTCTGACAGAAACACATATAGCATAACGACTGTAAATTGAACATTTCTAGGGATCATATTCTCATAATATATTTTCACCTGATAGATAATAACTCAATATTTCTAAATTTATAAACATACAACAAACAGATGGCTCCATGCCATTCCATTACACTACACTTTAAAAAGAATAGACATATGTATATACAGATACAGATAGTCTTAGAATAAATATCCATTACTCTATCTGCTACAATACTTTGCTCTTTCCTCACTACACTGGTTCTTTGTCCCTTTAAATTTCCCTGCTACTGATGTACTTGTAATTTAAATTACAGCCCCTCGACAGGGTGAGAAATGAATCCCAATAAACTCTGGGTTTATGGAGCAAACTCTATCCATAAGCTCAATTTCTAGTGAATTGTTAAACACAGAACATAGATAACATCATACAGATATAGATTCTATATTCACATGCAGTCACATATTTTTCGTATTTATACAGTGATAAAATTCATATCCGCATACAATCACCAAATTCATATTCTTTTACCCATACACATTCCAACACATATTTTCATAACCATTTACTTTTTCTCCGATAATTTAGAGTCTCTTGATTATTCATCAAATCATCTTATATTGATTTAAAAACTCTATAAAACCATCAACAATACTGTTGTGCAATTTCACAAACAATTATTTAAATCACACAAGTACGCAAGTGCACGTGTCAATAAGTAATAAAGTGGATGTGTAAGTCCAGATATCGTTCCCACAAAGATTAAGTAAAGTTATAGCTCTAAGTGAAGAAATCAAAGTAACAAAGATAATTTGTAAGTGGCTAATGATTAATTTAACAATTAAGAAATAAAATAAACTAAGACTAATGATTAATTAACGAGAATGCAGTAACCAAATAAGTTTTCCAAGTATTCAAAGATAGATTGGGATCAATTTTCCTATTATTGCAATTTCAGCAGAATGCAATAACAATGCTACAACAATCATCCATTCAGTAATCAGAACACTAATGCATGCAAAGGCTCTCACCAACAATACATGTATACTAAGTTCCACATCTCTATGGCCAACATAGTTATGAATCTTTAAGATCAAGTTCTATATGATTTTATGGTGTGAATGATCTCTCTATCCACAATTAACTAATTTTACTTAGTTAAAACACAATGCTTAATAACATTCAGGATTCACCTATATCTCTATAGCCTAAATCCTAAGACCTTGCAACTCTCTCTCGATGGATCAACAAATTAGAGACAATTTAACACTTTATTAAACAACTAAAAGGAAAATCATGCAACAAAGTTTAAGAAAACTGTTTACATCATAATAAGGGTACTCTATCACCCAATCTTAACAATTTAGCTCATAATAAGGGTACTCTATCACCCAAGAAGCTTCTTATTCCTTTCACATTAATGGGTATGGGCAGCTTCTCAATCACTGAAACCTTAACTTTATCCACTTCAAGTCCTTCCTTTGATATCTTATGACCCAAGACTATGCCTTCTCTGACCATGAAATAACATTTCTCCCAATTGAGTATAAGATTTGTGTCTTCACACCTCTGAAGTACATCTGATAGGTTGGCAAGACATGAAGCAAATGACTCTCCAAAAACTGAGAAATCATCCATGAAAATTTCCACAAAGTCTTCCACCATATCTGTGAATATGGCCACCATACAACGCTGGAAGGTTGCTAGAGCATTACACAGTCCGAATGGCAACCTTCTAAATGCAAAGGTGCCATAAGGACATGTGAATGTGGTCTTGTCCTGGTCTGCAGGTGCTATAGCAATCTGATTATAGCCTGAATACCCATATAAGAAGCAGTAAAACTCCTTGCCTACAAGTCTATCCAACATCTGATCAATAAAAGGCAAGGGAAAGTGATCCTTCCTTGTTGCATCATTCAACTTCCTATAGTCCATGAAGATTCTATATCCTATTACAGTCCTTGTAGAGATTAACTCATTATTTTCATTCTCTACCACTGTAATTCCTCCCTTTTTAGGGACACACTGGACTGGACTCACCCATTGACTATCTGAAATAGGGTATATTACTTCTGCATCTAGCCATTTTATAACTTCTTTCTTCACAACCTCCTTCATCATAGGATTCAGCCTCCTCTGATGCTGTACAGTACTGCTATAGCCTTCCTCTAGCAAAACTTTATTTATACAAAGTGAGGGGCTTATTCCTTTTATATCATCTATGGTCCACCCTAATGTTGTCTTGTGTTTCTTTAGGACTTCTAGCAATTACGCTTCCTATAACTTGGTCAAATGATACGGAATTATTACGGGCAAAGTATTATTCTCCCCAAAATATGCATATCTCAAGTGATCAGGCAGTGGCTTAAGCTCCAGCACTGGTGGTTCTTCAATTGAAGGCTTTGGTGGTTGTGCTTTTCTTTCTTGCAAATTCAGAGACTCAAAGTGTCTCTCTTTGAATGACATCACTGGTTCGACATCAATCCAAGCTAAACATGCTTCCATCTCTTCTTTGTCAATTGCACCTTCTTCTGCTATGACAATCTCCAGTGGCTCCTTCTCAGTTTTTGGTTCCTGTTGTTGTAGCAGTGGTTCATCAGCATCCTCTATTGCAGAGCACTCCTCCATTTGACTTGGATACTTCATAGCATTTAACACATTAAAGGTTATTTGCTCATCATTGAATCTCATAGTCAAATCTCCTTTTTCAACATCAATAAGAGTTCTTCCAGTAGCTAGGAATGGTTTGCCCAAGAGAAGGGGCACCTCCCTATCTACTTCAAAGTCAAGAACAATAAAGTACGCAGGGAATATAAACTTATCCACCCTTACCAATACATTCTCAATCTTTCCTTCAGGGTAAGTGATGGATTTGTCAGCAAGCTGTAGGGTAACAGTGGTTGGACGTGCTTCTCCAATTTCTAATTTGGTGAAAATACTCTTGGGCATCAAATTGATGGATGCACCAAGATCACATAATGCTTGACTAACGTAAGTGTTGCCAATAGAATAAGAGATTGTGAAAATCCCTGGATCTTTCAATTTAGGTGGAAACTTGTTCAAGGACCTGTTACGTTCTTGGGTGAGAGCTATTGTCTCATACCTTTTGACTCCCATTTTTTCTTGACAAGATATCTTTCATGAACTTTGCATAGCTAGGCATTTACTCAAGAGCCTCTACCAATGGAACATTGATGTGCAATTGCTTTAGCACATCCATGAACCTTTTGATTTGCTTGTCATCTTGCTGCTTATGAAGCCTCTGAGGAAAAAGAGGCGGTGGTCTACTTGCTTTGTCAGCAGGCTGACTATGCTACTTCTTTGCTGCAGCATTCTGTCTGGACTTTTGGTCTGAGTGTCAACCTGTTGCTCTCCAACGTCTTCTTCCACAACAACCTTCTTTCCTGCATTCTGGCCTTCTAGCTCCTTCATCTTACGGTAGTCTTTTATATGGTCTGGTTCATCTACTTCTTTCTGACTCCTCAATGCTATGGCCTTGATTTGCTCACTTCATTCTCTTCTTGGATTTTTAGTCTTGCTAGGCAGTGTTCCTATGGGTCTTCTTCTCATGGCATCAGCTAATTGCCCTACTTGATTCTCCAAGTTCTTTATTGATGTTGATTGTCTTTGAACAATGGCATCATTCCTTGCCATGAAGTCCTTCAGCATATTCTCCAACGAGCTAGAGTTTTGAGCTTGCTGTCTAGGCTATTGGAATTGCTGCTCCTGCTGCAAGAATGGTGGCCTTTGCATCTACTGTGTTGGAGCATAGCCTGATCCTTGATGTTTCCCCTGAGAATAAGGCAAATTATTACCGCTCCTCCATCCTTGATTGTAGGAATTTGAATATTGATTGTTCCTATTATAATTTCCTGCAAAAAACACAGATTGGGGATTTTGAGGGCATCCATCATAGCTATGAGGACTATTACAGAAAACACATGTTATAGCATTAGAAATGTTAGAAATTGCATGTGCTTGTTGTGGCTGTGCTTTAGCATCAGTGTTCAGATTCAAAGTTTTAATAGTATTAGTCAAAGAGGATATGTGCGCTGATAGTGATGATATAACATCTAGCTCCAGTACTTCTGTAGCCTTCTGCTGTGCAATTGTCCTCTCGGATGGCCATTGATAATTGTTATTTTCCATCCTCTCCAGAATTTGGTAAGCTTCTGTAAATGTCTTGTCTAAGAGGGATCCTCCAGATGATGCATCTACTATTCCACGGGTTTGCTCATTCAGTCCATTGTAGAAAGTTTCCATCTGAAGCCATTCGAGTATGTCAGGGCTAGGGCATTTCCGAAGCAATACTTTGAATCTATCCCAGCTTTCATATAATGATTCTCCTTCTCTCTGCTGGAAAGATATGATCTCATTCCTTAGTTGAGCTGCCTTGATTGGAGGAAAGAATTTGACTAAGAATTTCTCAGCCAAATCATTCCATCTTCTGATTGAATCAGGGGCTAAAGTGCCCAATCAAGTCTTAGCCTTGATGGCTAATGAATAAGGAAATAGCTTCAGCTTTAATGCATCAGATGTGACTCTTTGCTTCTTGAAGCTATCTGCCACATCCATGAAATTCTTCAAGTGCAGATGTGGATCTTCACTTGGCATTCCATTGAACTGGCCAATTGTTTGCAGCATATTGAACATACTTGGTTTCAGGTCAAAGTTTGTTGCTGCAACAACAGGTTGTACAATCCCCAAATGGAGATTGTTGAGTGTGGGGACTCCATGTGCCCTAATAAGCATCTCAGCTCGTTCATCCTCATTCACAGATCCTTCTGCTTCCATGTCTGCAGTTCTGGGTATTGCTACACCTCTGTTCTGTCTCTGCCTCCTTCTCCTTGCTAGAAAAGTTCTTTCAATCTCTGGATCAAATGCAACTTCTGGCTGGTTAGGAGGAATGTTCATACACTAGCTGGAATATTTGATAGGACAAAAAGCAGATAAGATTAAATATTACTTCATAAAAAGATAATACCTTTATAATAATCTCTGGCAACAGCACCAAAAACTTGTTGTGCAATTTCGCAATCATTTATTTAAATCACACAAGTGCACGTGTCAACAAGTAATAAAGTGGATGTGTGAGTTCAGATATCGTTCCCACAGAGATTAAGTAAAGCTATAGCTCTAAGTGAAGCAATCAAGGTAACAAAGATGATTTGCAAATGGCTAATGATTAATTTAACAATTAAAAAATAAAATAAACTAAGACTAATAATTAACTAACAAGAATGCAGTAACCAAATAAGTTTTCCAAGTACTCAAAGATAGATTGAGATTAATTTTCCCATTATTGCAATTTCAGTAGAATGCAGTAACAATGCTACAACAATCATCCATTCAGTAATTAGAACACTAATGCATGCAAGGGCTCTCACCAACAATACATGTATACTAAGTTCCGCATCTCTATGGCCAACAAAGTTATGAATCTTTAAGATCAAGTTCCATATGATTTTGTGGTGTGAATGATCTCTCTATCCACAATTAACTAATTTTACTTAGTTAAAACACCATGCTTAATAACATTCAGGATTCACCTATATCTCTATAGCCTAAATCCTAAGTACCTTGCAACTCTCTCTCGATGAATCAACAAGAATAGAGACAATTTAACACTTTATTAAACAACTGAAAGGAAAATCATGCAATAAAGTTTAAGCAAACTGTTTCCATCACAATAAGGGTACTCTATCACCCAATCTTAATAATTTAGCTTTACTTGGCGGAAAGAAACAACAAAGAAAGAATAAGATTCCATAAAGCTAAAATAAAGAAAACATTGACGTTGCTGTAGCACTGCTCTCGCAGAAACCGTGAGCTCCACCACCATCAACCTTGCCTCAGCTGCCGGAATATTGGAACAAGTTACTGGGTTCAATGATCTCTCAATTGGACCCTAGCTCCTTCCTTTGATTTGCTGGATATCTCTCAGTCAAACCCTCAAATTCCTTCCAAGTGTTTCCCCCACTTTCTTTCTCTAAAATCTGACTTTAATTGGGTGTCTAAAACATGTCCAGCCGTTCTTGATGCGTGCAAGTGTCTTCCTTTTATAGATTATGATGTTTTGGGCTTTAATTAGCTCTTCATATTCATGCAAATCTCATTTAAATCTTCCTTGTGATTGATTGAGAATATGACTCTGTTTTGCTGTAATGCTGACAGAGCATGCTACTACATATCTTCCAAGAATCTTTCCAGATTTGTAATTCAAATCTGAATTGGATTTGTAATCGTTGAATTGATGAAGATTTGATTGTGATTTCTTGAATGTCTTTGAGCGCGTATCCAGATTAGATCTTTGATTACACGTTCAGAAGCTTCTTCCATCAATTTGGGCTTGGATCCATAGCTTGCTAGTGATGATGTCAACAATATGCATTGCTGACCTCATCTACACTGCTACAACACTGCTTTCCGATGCTACAACATTGACCTGCAGGCTGCAGTATTATAACAAATGCATTAAATGTTCCCAATGCTCAAATTATATCCAAATATCCATATTGAACATAATTCTTAATTAAATCATGAAAACATAGAATTCATGCATTAATCATATAAAATCAAGAGAATTATGTGTAATCATGACATCAAAACATCACAATTAAGCCCAAAAATAACTCTTGTAGAGAGTTATCAAATACCCAATATCTATAATAACGAGAATGATTACAAAATTCACACTAAAATGTGCTAGCAGAGATATAACCCATATAGTACACCATACAATCAAACAATCAACCAATCAATCAAACAATCAGTAACCAACTGGGCACAAATACGAGAACATCCATAAGAGATATTGTTCAAGGACCCCATTATATAACTCCATAGACATTCCTAGAGTGTTAACAACTCTAAGGCACCGCACCAACAGGAACTCCCTACTTGGAGACCTATCCGGTGGAAGTCCACAGAATATCTATCTACTAGTCAAAGATGCAGGTATATCAAAACATATACCAAACAAGAATATAAGTATATCAAAATATATATCAAACAACATCTAGGTAAGAATGCATGATCATACTCCATCACATATTATCAAAGATCACAAAACCAATCTTTTCAAAGGACATGATGGAGCACATAAAAGAACTAACCCCAGGACACACAGAAGTTTACACATAACACAACCATATGTACATGTATTTAAGTCAAACAAATGATTCACATTGCATCAAGCCTCTTCACATCTAATCATGATATAACAATCAATACATTAGAACTTGAACAATTGCATTACGACCATCAGTATATTTACACTTCATAGATAAATCATGTTTTATAGGTTATATACATAATTGTCCTATATGAAAGCAACTATTTCAAGTTCTAACACTCACAACAGTTATATCTATTCAGAAACCACAATCCCACTAATCATGATGGAACAACATGTTAGAAGAAAACTCCTAAACCAAGAACTTACATGATCAGCTTGCTCTGCTACCTACTCACAGTCCAAGATACTTATACACTTTACACCCACTTACTTCATTTGATTCTATTCTTTGATATCATTTATAAAAATACCATTAATTATCAATCAGACACATTACCTGTAATCTAAGCAATTAACATCTTACATGCTAATTTTATATTTAACTCAGTGACTCTCTTAACCACTTTGACAACTCTATATATCTTTACAGTTCATGTCGTACCACAAGTCTTAACATTTAATTTACCATTTAATAACTAGATCCTAATACTAGTTAGTTTGCACCACTAACTCATGTGAACATCTCACACTTCATTAAGGCTTAACAAACCTTAAAACCACTAGAATCATACTCAATTATTATAGCAAAGGATATTAAACATTCACTCGAATTTACATTCCATGTCTTTTAATTACCACAGCCGAATTCATATAAAACAAGGTTCATGAACTCGTTTAAACTTTTTAATTAACTATGTATAATTAACCTTCTTTACGGGGTCATGAAACCTTTCACCAAAAATTACGATATTTTACCATCTTAATCTAGACGTCTTAAGCTTTCCAACAATATATATAAGCCTTATTCTGATAAGTATAACTCAATATACGTCCGTTGTAAGCAAATGGCTCAATTCCTACGTCAGAAAAATAGGACAAT